CCCCACCTCGCAAACAACCATTTATTTCTAGCAATGGCCCAGTGGACATCTCTGCTTGTTCGTAGTCTTGGAACACTGAGCTAACTATGGTTTGAATCAAATATGCTATTGTTTATCAGTGAATGAGAATGTCAGGGAAGCCGTATAACTGAGCCCAAAAGCGGAGTTGTTCGAATAGCGCTGCTATATTTGGAATGGAAATCGTGGCCGAAAGTATTATACTATTGTATCGCTCCATTTACATATCAATGGACAACTAGGCGGTGGGAAACTTGGATTCCGATCAAGGGTGACCCCAACTTCGCTTAATGAACTGACGAGAGAAACCATGACAAAGTACTTCGTAATCGGAAGATGGAGCGCGCAGCTCAGAGGCTACTTTCATAGTCCACCGGCCGGCGCGCGAGCGCACGAGCAGACACAAAACGAGTTAGTTCGTGTCAGAATTCTACGTCTGTTGCATTTTATTTCACGGTCAGATTCCTTACGGACGGGTTCTGACCGTGAAATAAAAAGCAACAGACGTAGATTTCCTACACGAACTAATTCGTTTTAGGTCTGCCGGCGCGCCGGTTCGCTCGCGCGTTTTCTCGCCGGCCGGCGGACTATGAAAGCAACCAGGCGGACTCGACGATAAAAGATGTGTTAGAAGTTCTGCACGTCCTTCATTACGGAATCTTACGGATCCCACGTTACGGTACCTTTACCATATGTTACTTATATAGATTCAATGTGTTAGGAGTGTGGTGTGTCAAACATGTATGTAGGTATCATTTCGGTATTTCGTTACTCTTGCAAGCACTTTTAAGTGAATATGTTCAAACGTTACGGAGATAATTTTTTCGCTATAAATAGTTGTTCAGCAGTAAAACACTGTAAACCCACGTAATCGTGAAAAGTTCGACCCTTTCAGTGACTCAGCTCCCTTGTATTTCGAAGGTAACTCTGCGATATTGAGCGAATCAGATACTTCCAAGGTGGAATTAAGGCTTTCTTTAATTGAAGACCTTATAAGACATTATTGAAATATGATTCGTATCATCAACATTTGAGAAGATTGTTCAAATGCCATGTCCTTCCAGTACTGTTTGTCGTTGCTGCAAAAAAGACAAGAGGAACAGTAAAGATAAGATATGAAAGGTGATCACGCAGTTTTGATGTGAAGTATGTTTGTTGGCAGAGGAGTTTGTTATGCTTCAAATACATCTACGAAACTTGATCAGTATACGCATAACAATACGATGATTATCTCGATGTTGGTAAAAAAGTCGAAGATATTGGATTGAAGATATCGTAGAAGAAAGTCGCGATAAGATTGATGTCGAAGCCACTATTATGTATGGTGGAATCAGATGGCGAAACAATTTCTGAAAAGAATACTTCCTATAGATGAATGTCAAGCTTCCTTGAAGTGTTGCTGTCAAAATTTCTTCAAGACATCGGGTTGTGCAGCTGATATTGGTGCTTGATGTACTGAAGTGAAGAATGATCGTAGATTCGGGTCCTTCTGGAGTGCATATAACCAACTGAGTAGAATTTCCAGTGGGACGGAACATTCACCCAGAACTGGATGGACGCGGCAAACGGCGCGGTGAAATTCGTGGTGATTAAAACGACTCTGGCGCCCATCATTGAGGCACAAATTTGAAGTGGGATAGACAAGTAACATAAGCCGGCCCTACCTATCCAATCTACTTGGAATCCGTGCTCCAATGATAGGCGCCAAAGCCGTTTTGATCACCACGAATTTAACCGCGCGGTTTGCCTTGTCCATTCAGTTCTGGGTGAATGTACCCATACCCGAATTTCCACAGTAAATTTGTGCAGTTTCTCGAGTGGCTGAGGACTTGCAGGAAACTTTTGTTGGCGCTCCTTGTGCGCATTAGTACATGCAAATAGTTATCACATTTGCACTAGACAGGTGTTGTTGTTTCTATCAGCGCGGAGGCATTGGTGTTTTCGCATTGATTATTGATCGTCCTTCATTCATCATGGCAATTTGTCTTGTTGCGCACACGAAGCTTTCTGGTCTCGTTTTGTTTGAATGACGATATTGTTTCATTTGAGCACGTGCATTTCACTGTGTAGATTCTTGGTGTGAAGGTGCATGCGTGTTTCGCCAACGAGCAGTAAAATAGTTTCTTTCCCGCTGTTGAATTGAACTCGCCCTAGTGAACATATGACGAGTTGGCCTTGTGTAAAGGGCTCGCTTATTGTTTTACGTTGTCTGTGATAAAGTTGCTTGAAAGTACCGATAGAACTTGAGCGCTTGTGTTCATCAAAGGGATTTGCACGTTGTTCCATCCGTATGGGAGTCCTTTTTGGAGTGTCAGTGGATGTCGTGATGAAGATTCATTAGCGCTATAGTCATCGTTCCTTTAACCTGCAGGGTCTATGTTGTGGGGGTAACGGAGCTTCTCCCCGATTGCGGCATTCTCCCTTGTGGCATGCGGCAAATGTCAC